ACCATCATTCCAAACAAATACTCTTCGTCAAATATGCTAATTTCTGTACCGATAGCGAGGATTTACGCAAAGCTTATATAAAGGAGTAAAGTATAGTCGTTTAAGTCTTTTCAACAACTCGATTTGGCTATTGCATGTGCCTAACATTTTTAAAAATTACGTTGACTAATTCGCTTTTTCATAGCATTGACTACACTAGATTACATTTTATGTCATAGACAATAATTATGACTCCATCCTATAAATACTTCTAGGTCTACAACCTAATGTTTATCTTTTATTTAACGACGCTATATCCTTTATAATATGTACTGTTTTCTGAGGTGCGTCCATCTACAAAACTATATTTACTAAATAACGTACTGATACATACACAACTATATATATATATTGAATATATACAACATACTTTTTATTAAATTATTAGATACGTAATACATACGTTTGCGCCGAGGTCAAACCGTGGTAGGGTTGCAGTCAATATACAGCTGGTTTAACAAATGTTTTTCATATAAATTACACCGAAAATTTGATTTCAGAGTTTAAACTATATCTATACTTCTAGCGTCTTTTAACCCTTGTCAATTGTTGAATGTATACTGAATTTTGACTTGAAATTAATAACTACATATATAAATTCTCTGCTGAAGTTTTTCAAGAATCACAACCACTTTCTCGAGATATATACAACCACAATCTATTTTCTACAAAATATACAGGTTAGGGTAGGGACTAGGGTTGCACATATGTCGAGAAGGCCGCTTTTAGATCACAATTTGACCTCCTCATTTCTTAAAATGTCACCTTAACATTACACATTTGCTTTGTGCTAACTTAACTGTTAAGTTTTAAATATTACCATAAATATACTAGTTGCTTTTAAAGCTATCATAAATATATCCTTACGATAAATAAATAAAAGATAGTGCTAACTAAACTACGATATTTAATATGTTATACGACAGTAACATACTGCATATTATGTTGTGTCATGTAAACAACAGTCGTTGATGTTGTAAAATCTTCATCAATAAAAACATTATCGTCATTGCTAACCAACTCTTCTGAGATAACCACTGACATAGGGTCATTATCCTTGGCCACGTAAAGTCTTAGAGCTATCAGACACGCTGCTATAGCAGATATCGCAGAGGCTGTCTGCATAACTGGACTGGAATCACCAGTAGTGTCATAAATCCAACCTGAATAAGAAATTGAGAGATTTCAATTAGAGTTTACAACACAGGGTACAAGCTGAAAACGGTCGGTGTTGTTTTTATATTACCATAGGGAATTTATGAAAGAAACATTCGCAATGATTTAAATTATATTATTTGGGTAAAAGAAAAATTAATTTAGATAGATTCAGTACCGCAAGAGTAACCTACACCTGCGGTTCACATACACGGTTGTGGTTTAGTACGTTGCGGAGTAGCGGCAAGGACGCGGTTCAGTTGTGGCAAGGACGCGGTTGCCTGGGGCCGGTTGTATAAAACTCTTAATCACTTTTTTAATCACTATTTTGTAGTTAAATAGTGATTAACTCTCAAATAGGCGCTTCTTATTGGATGACGTTTCCACTTAATCATAGTTAACTTTAATCACTTTTTTATACAACCGGCCCCTGATTTGAGAATCTGTCGCATATTATTGACGCTTTTTGTTAGGCTATTTCTAAGCGGTAGTGTAGATAATTCTTGAATACCAATATAGCAAACTAGTATTTAATTTGTTTTTAATCAACTACTCAAATTTTGAAAAATGCTTACCTAAAAATGGTGGACCTCCAAGAGTTGCAAATGAACCAGCACAACTGAACAATGCGAATGCATGTTCTGAATAACTTTTATCTGTGACCTCGCTGACATGCAACGGTATTACAACCCAGTAAATACTGTCCACAAGCGACACGAAACTCATGTAGACCATCATCCATGTAAAGGATTTTGTGAAAGCGCATAAAATGGTTGCAATGCTAAATAATATCATCACGATTAGCATTAGATATCTAACTTTTCTCCGCCTTTGAGCTACGTCTCCAAGACGACCAGCAATTGATCTAACGACTACTGCTACAATTCCTCGAACGATCATTAACCATTTGGATTTGGATAAATGATGACCAAGATTTGTAGCGAATTGCACCTGTGGAATAGAGGAATTTATGTTTCCGTTAGAAATGTTTGGTGGGAGAACTAACTCGTAAACTAAAACAGCCCTGCTGCGATTTCTAGTACATTTTTCTTCTTCTGCCACCTGCGAACAACGAGTAGATAGGTTACGAATGTTCCGAGCATATGTTCCCATATGCGAAGAAGAATCGCACCATCCGAAGAAGAAAATCGTACCTAAAATCGCAGCAAAAATTGCAAGTGTAAATGGACCTTTAGAATATGAAGGAAATTAGGATAGTGGATTAAATTGGAAGAAACGAAAAACGAAATAAATGAAAGAAAACGTGGAAGAATGGAAAGAAAGAGGAAAGGAAGGAAAGGAGAGCGGTAGAAAGAATGGAATGGAGGAAGTGTGGATGCATGAGCAATGCGTAGATTGAAAAAGGATAAATACAAGAACGAAGGAAGAAAGAATTAGTAGATCACTGCATGGATGAATGAAAACAAGATAAGAAATAGGAATAGAAATATTGGAAGATGGTGAGAAAGAAATGGAAATGTAGAAGAAGAAAAACATTGGAATAACGTACCATGAAGATTGGAGGCATAAAGACAACAATCGTGAACACCGTATGCGCCAGTAGAAAAACCAGGAGCTTCTTATTCTTCAATAATTTCCAGTAGATTTTCAAATCGTTCTTTGAGAACTCCTTGGTGGGCAAGCTGATCACGGTACTCACACTACATATTCTTTCGCTTCGATAGTCCTCTGTCGTTCCAGCATCGTTGTACATTAACGCATACAAAAATGTAATAAAACTGATGCCAATTAAAATCAGGAAAGTCCTTTGCCAATCAAGTTTCGTTAGGAGTATTGGTAAGAAGACGGAAAACAGTACTGTCCCCAACGCGTTCATACTGGATTTGATTCCAAATGCAACACCTTCGTGTTTCTCGAAACACTCCCTAATTGTGGTGAATGTCGCGCAACTAAGTATGGAACACGCAATCGCCATCGGGACGGAAAACGTTAAAAATAGCAACGCCATATTTGGTACCATTGGTGAAAGTATGAAGACGAGTACGAGAAGTGCGCCTGCGCATAACACGGTTTTACGGATGCCGTATTTGTAACGCATGCGGAGGCTTATGGGATACAAGAAGAAACATCCAAACATGGCGGACGAACCGACCCACGCTAAAAAAAGCAATAAAATGGAAGAGTTAATCACATCTGTCTTTAGAGTTTAGAGGATAAATTGATAAAAATATAAAAGTTGCATTTGCCTTTAAGGAATAAACTAATAATTTCTTTGTAAGATAGTCAGACTATATCTAACTGAGTGGTGAACTAAAGAAAGTTAAGCTATGACCAAATAAAGTTAAGTCAGAGTTGAAGAAGTTTAATTAGACACAAAAAACTGCCAGTCAAACCGTTTAAGGATCTATACCAATATGCTTATGGTGATGTAATTCTGGCAGAGATCACGGATATATATTATTAGCAAGAAACCTATTAATATTAATCATAATTTGTAGCATAATCTTTCCTCGAAAATCAATCCTTTGTGCTGGCAACTAAATTCATATTTTAATATCTTGAAAGGTGTTTGTAATTACATAACCCCCGTTCTAGAACAACTAAGCAGTTCTAAAGCGTTCTATCGAAGGTACAAATCGATTTCTAATGACCTACTGAGTATCTAAGGGTTAGCTAATTAATGGGCAAACATTTGTGGTTAGGAAGACGGGTACTGTAAATGCAGTTTATCGCAGTCATAAAATGCTTGGTATTTCCCCCAAGAATTCCTTACATTTTAAACGAGAAAATTTCCCAATGCAACGTTTATGTAACTAAGGATATGGCGCATAATAGCACCGCGGATAATTATCATAATTATAAGAGCTTTAATTTAATAGTTACAGCCAATACAATATTATTAAAGATGGGTAATATCAAGAAATTTATATGCTCGGTTAAACACACTAGTTACGTTTTCAATGAAATTTCAACACCATTGTCAATGCGGGCATTGTCTGGGAACATATAACTGGAAAACACTAAGTTCTGCTAAAAACTTTTTGACAGGAAACTCAAGAATAGCACTTTCGGTTTCTCATAGTAGCATTGCCAAGTACAGCCCACACGATGGAAAGGTCTTTTTGTGTTAAATCTAAAGCAATTATATTGCTATAAATTGCTTATCCGACAGTTCCGACTAGCTGCAGGAGATCGATTTTGAAACATAATTACGCAATAGGCGATGGGAATTCTTTAATTTAAAAAACATTTTGAACTTTGTACTATAGACAGTACATCTTCTGTGCTATTTTATTTTAAAATGTTTGATAATTTCGAGGTTAAAGAATTTCAAATGTCTTCACACTTCATTTCGGTACTGATGTGCTTAAATGATAACGTGTACCATTTTAAAACATATAACTTTAGAAAGCCGTTATGTGAAAAAGGTTCTCGGTATAGTTAGTGAGTTTTAACCCAGCACTATCGTCGGACATTACTGAGATGGTGGTTAACCTGCAGTTATGATAGAGAGTGTAAAATAAAGTAAAACGTCGAGTTGTAGTTAAATTTGCCGGCTTGCGCCTATTAAAACTGGTTTATACATAATCACAGTAAAAATTTTGCACAGGTAAGTTTTAAGTTTCGAAGTATTTGTAAGACATACGAGTCGGTTCCTTCAAAGATTTCTTACAAATTCTTCATTTATCGATGCAAAATCCACAGAAATTTTGATACTATATAAAACCAGTCTTTGGAGTTTGGCTTAAGTGTCGACATTTCCGAAGCCGTCAATCTTCTGCCGTGTAATATATACATAGTGAAATCCACCAGTCACAAGATTCAAGTTTTACGTCCTTGTTATCTTAGGGTGTTTAACTAAAGCGTCGTTTAATATACACCAACCTGCTTTGCTGTTCTTCTCCTTAAAATGCTGAACAAGGAAGACCAACAGGACGCCATAGGAATCAAGAAAACCAAACACAAAAAACGTTATAACAGAGACAAATGATAAATATACCCAGGACTGACGACTATCTTTCCTCGTCGACTCTGGGATAACCATTTCTTATGGAGATGAAATATACTTCTTGTGGACTTGTCTTGGTTTTTATTTCACGTGTGGTTCACTTGGGAAACACGTGGGAATAACAGCTCTTTATATGGATCACTAACGTCAACAGTGAGTCTGCAATTAAGAGACAAGTAAAGTTTAGAAATGATATTTAAATATAAAAAATGCTTTTAGGATACAAACAGGACACATAAAAGATATAGGCCTGTCTAAACTCGCCTTTTAATTTCGCTAGTTAAATCTAATCTTCACGCGCTGTTGTGAAGACTGAGGTGGTATCAGACAGATATCTGCGTGTGTGTGTGTGAGATGATTGTGGAATGAGAGATGCAATTGGTATCATTATATAAATGGTGGTGGGTGTACGTGTACGCAATGACGTCCATAGTCTCAGCAGGCTAGCAGTGAAGCATAAAGTGTTCCGCGTATTATACTAACACGAAACTGGGAAGTTTGCGTCAATGAATTGAACTGAATCGACTTCTCAATCAATCGTAGGAGACTATGGTTCATTGTTT